AAACATTTCCTGCAAAGTGAGGTGAAGGCAGCTCCAGCCATGCCTCTAAGGTAGCAGAGCTTTCAGCCCTTCTCTGCATGGCTTAAAAGGAGCCTGGGCAGAGCCCTGGAGACAAGCATGAGACCCAGACTACAGGTGCCCGGTGTGCCAGCACAGAGCGACACTGAGCTATCCCAGGGCTTCCCCAGCTCCAAAGCCTTTGATCCGCTGCTGCTTGGCATAACAGCACGAGGCACTGAGTCACCCCTCAGTCCCCCAGGGGAATGAGGATTAATTAGTTGATGCTGGCACATTGCTTTGAAGAGAGGTGCTCCACTGCAGCACGAGCCACAGGTTGTTACGTACTGAGCTGAGTCAAACGCAGCCCTGGCTTCACATCTGTCACCTCTGGAAGAGCAAGAAAAGGAAACATAGCAGTGGGGAGAAAAAAAAGAATGTTCGCACTGGGGTGATGCCAACGCTGCTGTCAAACCTAGGAGAGCAGCCAGCACAGAGGTTCAGGAGAGCTTTGAGCTGACCAGTGCAGACAGCAATAGTGCCTGAAGAACTGCCGACCCTCAGCAAATGCCCAAGGTGTTTTGCTAACCCAAGCGCTGTGACAACATAGCCAGCAGGGCAGGAGCAAGGCAGGCCCAGCTGCAGCACGGCACCATCACCCCGTCACCGCAGGGTGGGCGCATGGTGGGACCAGAGAGCTTCCATGGGAAGACAGGAAAGGAAAATACTTCATGCTGCCAGAAAACGGGGGAAGCCTCCTTAGTGTGTTTAATGCTAGCTGGGCTTTTTAGGTCTTTCCAAGCGCTCACCAGTGTGCCTCTGCCTCGCTCCTGCATGCGGACTGCTCTAGAGCACGGGTGCTTCAGCTGGCCCTGGCACAGCTTGTTGTAGTGCGAAGAGGGTGGCAGGATCCGAAGGACAGAGCTGCCTCTGTGCACCGGGGCCAGGTTTCCCAAGGGGAGATGGCTTCTTTGTTTTTGTCCTCGCCCCACCTCAGTGCTCCTTCCCGTGACGCGCAGAGCCCACAGGGCTCTCGCGCCCAGCCCGCAGCTGCACCTGGGCCGGCGGCGAGGAGGCAGCCTGTGCGTATGTAAAACACGGGCTTTCTTTCACACACCGCTGACTTCCCTCAGCAAAGGAGGCGGCGGGGCTGGGGGACGGGCACAGCACCTTTCCTGGCTTCTCGTGAAATGCCCCACCACACGGCAAGCTCGAGGGGGACAAGGGATGTCAGCATCGTGGCATGTGTCAGCTCCTGCAGAAGGAGCCCATGGCAAGGGAAACGTGGCCCAGCACAGGCTGGGAGCCCACGCTACTCAGCTGCCAAGAAGTCTGAGCAAGTCACTTCACTCCTGAGACCTCTGTGCCCAACCTCTCTCGTGCACAGGTTCTTCACAGCCAAGACGGCTCCTCCTGCACAGAGCCGACCCGAGGGGGATGCCATCCTGCTTAGCATCGCCGTGCTGTATTAATATTTAACAGTGAGGAAGAGATCCAGAGACTGATTTCTCCCACTGGCCAATTCAAGGATAATTGAACTGTACGGGGAATTTCAGCATTTCAGAGGGTGGTTTTGTTCCAGTTCACAGCAAAACCCAACCATGCCGCAACGCCTTATGAGAAGGATCACAGCCCAGTTTCAGGCAGCCTCCCTGCCTGCAGCAGAGTCAGGCAGGTAAGCAGTACAAAACACAGCCGATTTCAGGAGGTGCCTGGAGGGCAGGTCCCACCAAACCCTCCTCCCCCAGAACTTAGGTAAAAATCAAACTCTGCTAATTAGGAAAAAATGGTTTCTTCTGAATGTTTCCACCCAATTCCAGATTTGCGACCCCAAAGCAATGTCAATTTGCCCTCATCACACCCCTCCAGTGGAGGCAGCTCCTGCTGTAGAGGTAGAGCAAGTGAGCCACTGAATTTTAACACATGTGCCCAGGGTCATGCAAGGAATTGGCCACAGAGGCGAAACGAGCCCAGTGTTTCTCGCTCCCAGCTCTGGGCTGTGCCAGCTATTGCTTTCTCTTGCATCTAAATCACTTTTCCCCACCAGTGAAGGACAGCTGGTCGCTGACTGGAAAGCGGCAGTTGTTCAGCAGCCCACAGCAACACCGCACACCAGCTTAGGGTGGGAAGTGGAGAACACTCAGTGTGCAGAGGAGACTGCCAAGGGATCTGGGCCAGCTGAATGAAGACAGAGCAGCTGGAACCTGGCCAGAGCAAAGCCCAGTGCTCCTGCAAAATCAAGACACGTTAAAACCCCACAGGAGAAAGCGTCTCCCTTGCTTTTGCCAGCAGAGCAGGTACCTCTGCCACAGCTCACCAGGTCAGCTCCAGGCAGCAGAGCAGGAGTCCCTTCTTGTCCACTGCTGCTGTAGACACTGGTCATGATGAGAGCTACCAAGCAGCTCTTACAGCATGACCACAGCTGCTGAGTGCCACCGCTGACCTAACCCAGCCAGCCCCTTCGAACTACAGGTCTTGGCAAGCAGAGATATCCAGTTTTAACCAGTCCCCAAAGCAAATATTAGTGGCCTTGAATCTAAACCTCTACCACCAGTTTCAAGGTTTGGAGGGACAGATAAATCCCCAGGGCTGGATTTATCTCTGATCTTTGTTCCAGGACAGAGAGATCTTTTACTATAGGTGCCGTGTTAGTACACAGACTTTCTCTCCTATTAGTATAGACTAAGCATATCGCGCCTTACCACGCTTAAAAGTTGGTCTGATTTAACTGCTCGTGTGGCAAAGCCAGCAATAGAACCCCTTCCCTTGGAAAACCTGGGCTAGCAGAGAGCTATAATCCCAAGAGGTAATGCCAACCAAGCTGATTTGTGCTGAAATCTCTCACAGAGCACCTCTGTGAGCAGCTCAGCTAGTAGGCTGAGGATACAAAATCTTCAAGTGACTGGACTGAAGGCAAAATCCTGTGGGTCAACCTGCTGTAGCAGAAGAGACCCTATTACAGCCTCATTCAGTTCCACCCCAAAAAAAGCACTGCATGACCGAGGCTTACACCAGTGCAACTGGTCCAAGGTCTTCTATACTAATTAAACTGCTTTTACACTAATTTTGCTGACGTAGTTGACAAAAACACGTCCACAAACTGAAACAGTCAAACCAGCAATGCTCATGGGTACTTTTGCCACAGAGAGGGGGATTTCTTTTTGTAAATCTCCACAGGGATAGGGAACTGAGGAAACAGAGAGAGGAAGGAAAAACAAGTAACTCCAAAATATGTCTGTTAGTTTAGATTTCAGCCAGTTTGGCAAGCTCTTTCGCGATGTTTAAACACAACAGAACCTGAGTCACTAGCCTTAATTCAGCTTCAGGCCTTCCATGCCTCTGATCCCAATCCAAGTACTACTTTCACAAGACCTTTATCAAACATTAGCCCTGGCTACTCCATGCAGATGAAAGATATCCTCAGCTGCCTTGTCTTCTCTGGTGGGGGCAGCGTTATGGCCTGTCTAAACTAATAGCTGACAGTTCTCCTAGAGGTATTTACATAGTTGAAGCTGTAGCTTTAGATGTGTCCCAACTATTTTTGGTTGTAAGACATGATGGACCTGAGACACAGTGTCATATTCTTAGATACGCTCCACTTCCCCTGCCAGTTCTAGAAAAGACTTTTTCCTAAGAGTAAGAAAAATATTTGCCCCAAGGTGAAGTGAGAGGCTGCTCTTAAGGAACTAGATTTTATTTTGTACCAGCTGGGATTTGGCCACCTGTAGAAAGTACAAACAGCACCTTTCTTCTTTGAAAGTAGTAGAAGGAAAGAAATACTGCATCTGAAACATAGCAGTGGAAAAAAACCCTATGTTTGAAGGTGCAGGAATGGACAGTAGCACGTGTGGGTTGCTACAAAGCATTCTGGGTGAACCAAAGAAAGTTTCGTTTTCACCAGTTAAGAAAGCACAGCGAAATTACTCTTGAGGCTGAAGGGATTTTACCCGAGTCCAACAGTTATTAGAGGCAACTGGAGAGCGACCTAGGAGACGGAAGAGTCTCCTTACCTTACAGCAGTTACGGAGGACACGAAAGAGTAGCTCATTTCATGCCGCAGCCCTTCCTTCCCTCCCCCAGACTGCACCTGCACATGAAGAGCAAATCGAAACCAGTCTATTCTAAACCATGGTCTCATTTATTTTGAGGGACCCAAAGCGAGAGCGAGGCTGAGACAGCATAACCAACAGAGAAACTTGTTTCTCAGCATGATTGCCCCTTTCTGGTGGCAGAGTCCTGGCTAGTACCTTCAGGATCACAAAGCTAGCTGAAAGTAGGGCATGCCCATTAAGCTTCCAATCCTTCTTACACGGCCATGGGAGTTTGCACTTATCTTTCTCCTTTGGGTTTTAGCCAGAGTCCAGCCCTTTTGGGCACGATAACACAGCTGAATGGTTTAGCTCCTTTTGTTCCATCTGACAAACAACCTAGCCCTCCCCTGCCAGCAACAATACAACTGGAGCTAGGATTTGTGTGTCCTCTGAGCAAGGATACAGGCTTTGTGCCTTGCTGAGCTGTCTTTGCAAGGACTGCCAACACTCACAGCTGATTAAGCCTGCAGTGCTGCTTTTTGCTTTTTCCTGCTCGCAGACAGATGCAGAAACAAGCTAAGCGAAACAGCACACGCAGCTAGAGCTCTGTACCTAGGAACATTAAAGCAGACTATTAGGGATTAAATAAATTAAACCAGAGGGGAGCTTAACACATTCTCTCTAGGCTTCATTTCTACCTGGCACGCAATTCTGGGTAAGAAACATCCCAGCGTTTCAAGAAACACTATTCTGGAAGGTGGCTCAACGCAGTATACAGAAACGATTGTATTTGGAAAGCTTTTGCCACCACCACGTGGCTGAAACCGTGACTGCAGCCCACCAACTAACTGGAAGTTCAAACTACCTGCAAGGACCAGCCTCGCTGTCAGGGCAAACTAGGACAAGTGTTTGTAGGTTTTAGAGCCTGTGCCACATACCCAAACAAAAAGCATACAACTAATTATTAAATATTATACATTTTATTAACTTAGAACTCCAAAACACACTACTGACTTGCAGTAAGAATAAGGCATGAATTACTGCTGATAAGAACCTGCTAGTTAAGGGATTATACACAGCATATGCCCAACTTGCAAGAGATAACATGTTTTCTGTATGTTGCTGTAGTCCCGTCTGCTGTATTTCATCTCTGGCCAGCCCCAGAGTCTGGGTTGCTAGGGTTATCCTGGGCTTGATAGATGGAGCCTTGCTCTTTAAAGATCTAAAAGAAAGCTAAAGTGCTAGATTATCTTCTTTAGACCCTTCCTCCGCAGTTAGGTATCAGGCACGGAAATACTCAGCCCTTCGCTGGGCAGACGCTCACACAGATGGATCATTAACTGCCAATTGCAGACTATCTAGAAGCTGCAGGACAGCCTTCCTTCCCCGTTATTCTCTTGGGGGGAAAACAAAACCTGGCAGCGACGTTGCACATTAGTCCAAGGTGCTATATTTCAACTGAAAGGAAGCAGGAGCCTGCTGCCTCTTCTCTAGTACTTTGGGGACACTGAAACAGATACTCAACCATAACATGCGGCATTTGGGATAGTGGCCTGTTCTTCCAGTAGTCTCTCAGTAAAACACGTAGCTCCTGGCCACTGGCAAAGTGGGTGAAACTCAAACTTGATCATGAAGTGGGATTCAGATGTAATAATGGATAGGAATCCCCAATTCAAACTGCCCTCCCCCCAGCACCTATATGTTATCCACTGAACAGGAATCAAGCTTTTCGTGAGAGATTAGCAACTAGGAACAGCTCTGGATGAGTGGTCGTGACAAGTCAGGCAAAAAAGCTTCCCAACATGATTCCAACTGCAGCAGCTTGAACGCCTGAAGTGAAAAAAACTTGATGAATGTGCCTGAATTCTCACAATGAGAGGCTAGTCGTCAGCAGAGTTCCTCATCAGTGAGCCAAAGGACAAGGCAGAAACTCCTGGTATGTGACCAGCACAGATCTGTAACATCCGGAGAAGTCGCTGAGCAGTGGCAACTCGTATCCCTTCCAACTGGAAACAAAATGGAGAAATTATTTAATCAACAGAAATGAAGAAAAGCAGTGCTAAGCTGTGATAAAAGAAAGAATCGGAGCAGGCATTAAGTATGGCTCAGAGCGGCTAGCTACAGAAAACCCCAAACAGGCCCATTTACTCCTCTAATGTTAAGGAAGGTACAGTGCTGTCAGCTGAAAACCCTGAAAGGCTTGCCAAAGGCACAGATATTACCTGCTGGTAGGGAAGCAGCCTCTGAGGGTGTAATGACGAGTACACGGAAAAAGTGAAGTGTGCTACCGCTGAATGCCAAACTCTCCCTCCAGCTCTTCAGACCAAGCAGGTAATTGGAAAGAGTGGCATATCAGATGGCAAAACAGTCTGTGAAGCAACAAAGCCTGGCTAACAGGAAGCATTACGTGGGCAAGAGAGTCACATGGCAAATAACAGCTCAGGGGCTCCCAGGAAGAGAAAATGCCTCAAGGAACAAGTGTACCAAGGCTTTGCATATCAGAGAAGTCTTTGTTAATTTAGGCTTGGCTTCCTGAGGCTTTAAGTAGCACAGGAAGGAGCAGGTAATCTAGAAGACTCATTTCAAGGACAGTCAGACTCCTGTACCTCTACTGTTCTGTAGAAAGAGTCTGGTCTCTGACACTTACGCAACACTAGTGTATGTACATATATTTATTGCTGATGTAATGATGTTCCTAAGGATCAGAGAGCAGTGGAATTCACAAATCCCTTCAGACACCAAATAAGCACCTTACCTCCAGCTCACAGAATAGCACAGGACTGCAGTAGACTTCTCCCAGTTTCCAGATGGCGTTCATCTCTACGCTGCAATAATTCACCCTGCCAACTACAGAAAAAGTTTTCCCACATTACAAGCCCCGTAATCAACATTCAGTGAAGAAAAGTACCAGGAAATTCCACATCCACAAAACGATCCAGAGCTAATTTTGAGAGCACCATAGAAGGTAAGGCAATAGTGTACAACAGTACAGTACAACAAGAGTACAAACAGAACGGTACAAGATGCGCAATGGAATTAGCATCTAAGTCGTTCATAATACTGACAGCAGGAATAGTATCGCCACATTGCTGAGTACTGTAACATTAACATTTTGGATAAGGGATCAGTACACTATCAGCAGGGGCAGAATCTTCTACTCATTAATCAGAAGCCCTCGTGGTTCATGTGGTATCACAGGGTGATGTCTCCATGGACTTCACTCCATCAGGAGAGCCATAGCACAAGACAATGCCAAGACTCTTTTCCACCCCAGAATTAGGCCTCTTGACCTCCAAATTCCAGGGACAGAGCACCTCTGTTCCAACACTGAGCAGTATAGTGTGGCCCCTCCAGCTCTTCAGAGCTGAAGTAGGGAGGGAAATGCCCTCTCTGCTTTTGGGGTGGGGGGGGAGCAGGGAGGGAGATTAAAGGCACAATGGAGCCAGACAGCACACAGCAGGGATACCAGTCTTGTATTAAAACTATACTTAATAGTTTCGTAGCTCATCCATTTAGATTCATTTTATTACCACAGTATCATCTGCTCCTCACTGCTCATTAAGATGACCATTAAGAGGTATCTGCAAGAGCAGACAGAACAGACTTCTGCAGTGCCACAGGAAAAAAATAAAAATCAATAACACAAATCCTATTCAGGGATTACGGACAGAGAACAGAGGTCTGACTGGCAAAAACAAAAAGGAGAGAGCAAGTAAGCACGAGAGAAGAGAACCGTGTTTTATCCAAGAAAACAATAAAAAAAGGCAGATGATTTCAGATACAATTTAAACAAAACTTTTGACAAAGCCGCTGGTTTTCTTTGTTTTGTTTCAAGTTAAGTCACTGCCCTGTTTTAAGGAAAGCAACAGTGAGCTGTGCTGCTTGGAGAGGAGGAAGAGAGCAGATGCCATACGTACCCCCAGTGACAAGAAAGCACACTTTCCCCAGGAAGAAGCTGGCATCCACGTGAGCTAGGGAAGCTTCGACATTCTTCAAGCTGTCAGAAAAGCACAGACAATCCAGTTGGACAGGGAGGTAAAACCAGTGCGACGTAAGGACAAAGGGAATAACTTTCAGAAGCACGATTAGAAACCCAATGATGTTAACATCTGCTGATCTGTGAGCTGGCAGAGTTATGCTCTATGCTAAAAGCATGGCAGCAGAGACCTCTGTAATACCCACAGCTGTTTAATAATCCATAACATATCCTTTCCACCCAAAACTCAGACTTCATTTGAATGGTGTCCTCCATGATTTGTGGACACTAAGCATCTGAATTCATTAACATCCAACGAGACTTCAGCACTACTTTGGCTCTTTCAGAAGAGCTAGCCCACACATTTCTGCAGCCCCATCTGTGCTGTAAGTATGCAGCTGGGCCTGTAATTTTTGGTAAATGAGAGCCCAGGATCATCAGTCACAAGTTAAGTAAGTAATAAAATGCTGACTTTTGTGCCTTAGCAAGTCTTTACTTATGGCCTGGGGGCACAAATATCATTTCTACAAAGATGAGCACAAGATGAAAGAAAAGGGATCAACCCCTGCAGACCTTTCTCTTTTGCCTAGAGACATCTGTAGTGCTAATCCCACTTGATCAGCAGTATCAGTGAACTGGGGAGACAGACGCAGCAACTGGCTGGTTATTAGGTAGCACTGCCCAGCACACATCAGCCATCTGTGTATTACAGAACTTAACAGCACCACCATCATTTCCATCTAATTTTACAGACAGCGTCTTTCCAAAGCTCAGTTCATATCATCCCGTGTCTGGATCCAGGAATAAATTCTGCCTTCTCTGCTATGGTAACTTAGTGCACAACAGGTGTGTTACTGGACAGAGCGGTTCAGTCCTAATCCATTGCTGGAGGCCAGAAAACCACTGTATGTGTTACTGAGCTCTCCCAACACAGCAAGTCTTGGGTTTGAAATCCACTATTCGGTGATTCTGACGCAGTAAAAATGTAGATTTAGCCATCAATCCAAGAAAGAACATCAGTTTCTCCTCTCATATTTTTGCCCTTCTTTTACCTGTATTTGCTCTTGATGTCAATCATAAAGGCAATCAGATCTATCCTGGGCCGAAGGTGATCCCTCTCTGAAGGTAAGGGGAGGGATGTAGCAAGGTGACTGAAAGATAATAAATTTGCCAGTTTAACCAAATAGCTTGGCAAGGCAGTATCCACTTAACCATAACCACATAACCATTGCAGTTCACCACGTAGCAAGTTACCAGGAAGCCCACTAATTACTAAATACATAGGCACTGAAGAGACGCTGTGATTCTTTAAGTGGTATTCTCATATCTTAGGCCTACTCATAGTTGCTGCCAGCCACAATGATACTCGCTAGACAAGGTTGTTTATAATGGGAAGCTTATTAGAGCATAACAAGACTCACAGAAACATTTTCTCTGCACAGATCTGTATGGCAGTCATTTTATTTAATTGTTAAGAAGAGTCCTTTCTAACAAAGTGAATCCCAATGCTTCGCTGGTATATTTTGCTGCCAAGTTTCAGTTAAAATGCATCAGTGCTTTCCTGTCACATTCCAGAGATACTGCTCATATGCTCACACAGGAGAGGCTGCCTTCTCAGGTGTCCATGTTACAGAAAGGTGTGTTGTACTCACAAAACCTTAAACCAGAAATTTATTACTAGTATAGCTTTATAGATGAAGTTATAACTCAGAAAGAGCTTCTATTATACCACTACCCCCCTTTTTATCCCTTTCACTGTCAGGAGTTACTAGGTTAGTTTAGGTGTCCTTCTACACAATACCACCACTGTTGATACAGCTGTTGGCAGAAGAATTACAGGGTGGGGATTTTTTGTGTCTCTTCCCACTACAAAAAAAAAAAAAAAAAAAAGGCTAAAAAAAAAAAAAAAAAAAAAAAAAAAAAAAAAAAAACTCTGGAATTTCGGACAGCACCTGG